TTCCATTATTTCCCAGAATCAGATTCTTGGAGCCATGCAAAACCAGCAGAATCTCAGTTTTAAAGGGGAAAGTTGGAGTGGCTAGCTTTGGAGCCCTATACCAAAAAAAAACCCTAGAAACTATCCCCTCCAAAAGAACTCAAGCGAGAATACAAACTAAGAACAAAACAAAGCATTTGGCTTCTAAGTTAAAGAATCTTATTTTGGAAGCTTAAGTTTGACTGTAGATGACAGCAATATTTCAGTCAGTTCGGTGTCTACAACACTTTCCCCAGCCAGCTCTACAGAGCAAAATTGAATTATGCAGTTCATACAAGATTTATTTCTGTCTCTTGCATTAACACCTATCATTGAAAACCTCATCAGCAGGCATCAGGAAGTGAGGAGGTTAAGAACAATTGTATTATTAATTTTAAATAAATTGAGTGTGTCTATCTTTTAAAGAGGTTCAAAGTACCAAGAAAAAAAAAAAAAGAGCAGAGACAATGCCAGGAAGATGTATGTGCTCCTACAAAACCTGACGTAGACTCGCCTTACCATCCTGCCACAGGTTGACTTTCTTTCATTCCCTGAGCTCATTAAGTGGCAGCAAAGGGAAACACACAGCTCCTACCGCCTGTTGAGCTGTCCGTCGGTGCATCCCTGATCAGGGATTTATCTCGTTGCCTTTTGCCGTCCACAAAAAAACATGAGGAAATGCAGCAGTGGAAACAGGGAACAGGAAACAGGGAACAGTGACAAGGAGACAGGCTGAGGCTTGGGGAGCAACGACCTGTTGGGATTTTGTCAGCATTACCCTTGTTTTTTCCTAAGCCATTGGTGACAGCCAGAGCAGAAAAGGAAGCCCAATGGGTCCGTGACTGCAAGGCTTCTGACCAAGGAGTCAAGAACCACGACTCAATCGGCTATGGCACCTCAGACTCCTGCCCAGTGTTTTCACATTGTGCAGCCAGAAATGGGGCTAATAATAATCTTCATTACTACAACAAAGCAGGAGTCTAAGAGAAGAAGAAAAATAATCAGGGGAAAGATATGATACCGAAATGCAGTATCCAAGGAAGCTGGGATTTCAGGAAAACTGTGGATGACAGTAAAAAGATTCAGCAACTCACCAAGGAATAAAAGATATTTTGCAGTTAGAATAGGAACAGATACATACATTGAATCATGTATCTCTTGTGACATGTCTTTCCTTTGCAAAGTTTTTGCTTAAAAAATAAAAAAAATATACCTCAACTGATTTCATTTTTAAAAAGGATCCTATACTCTTATCTACTGATTTCTAATTGCATGAAAGGATAGATATACACTAACTTCTATTCATTAACTTTAATCAAAGGAATTCTTGGCTGTTTCATTTAAGGCGGATTTAATCAAGCAAGGTTGGCTCTGAAATGAAGTTACAGTCTTTAGACTGCAGAACAATTAATTTAGAGTTTTGCCCTGCAACAGGTCCCTGACGAAATACTAAATTAATAGATTGCAATAGGGCATTTTGGAAGGTAATTTTAAATACAATTTAGGTGTTTTCTCTTAAGACTTATAGGCAAAACCTTTCTGCAAACTTGCATGTAATTTTTCCAAAGCTCTATGGAAATGTAAGATATTGCTCAATAGACTTTATATTATACCAGCAAACACCAAAGTAAATACGTTTACAATGCAACTAAGTAACACGCTAGAGATCAAAGACTTCTCCTCAGGTTCATCTCACACAAAAATAGTACCCATAATATGCTTTCCTACCGACAAGGTATTGTGAAGCTTTCGGTTATTAAGCATTTGTACCAGCTAAGATAAATAAAAGAATTTAATGTTTTACATGAAAACTTCGCATTTATTGTGATTTTAAACCACAATCCTCATAATTTGGGGCGCTCTGGAGTCTTTTACTCCAAGTAATTTCATCTCCATTATGATGAAATATGCCCACTTCTAATCTCAAGCTGAAATAAGGTAACTCTACATGACAATCTTAAAGCAAAGCCTACAGCCAGCCCTCGCAATTCCAGCTGCCTCAAAAGCTACCACAAACCCCACTGCCGTCCTCAGCACTTCTCCTGCTGCGGTGAGAACCTGAGAGGTGATGTATAGGAAAAACCAAACTCTTCCTAAACTGTCCCGCAAAGGATATCTTGGACAAATCTTTTTATAATGAGGCACAAGGAAAATTTCCCTGACTAAAGGCAAAGCGAGTCAAATAAAATAACAGTTTAGGTACCTGCACTAGAACCAGCTCTCTGATTGTTGTACATGTAGTTAATTGGAAGAGTAGTTTTGCTCCCACTATGACTCCCAGTCTACCTGCTTCATTTTCCCAGATCAGACTGAGAGTTGCAATTTAGCTTTGATGTAAAGAAAAGAGCCTCCAAGGCCATTTCAGTAACCAACTGCTAATTCCAGCAAATACTCTAGTCAGGCTGTTTGAAATGACAGCTTAAGTTGTCTTGTCCATCACACAGGCGTACACAGGAGTTTGCATGTTAATTTGTTACGTGCACACTTAAAGAAAAAAAAGGAAATTAAAAAAAGAACCTGCTGTTGCTCAGAGATGACCTGTGGAAAGCATTGGACTCGCCAAAGCTGTACTATCCGACTTCAAAAAGTTCAGAAAAACAACACGTAGTCACAGTCTATTCAAGATGTCTAAACACCTAATGTAAAAACTGGAAGAGCAGAGAAATTTCTTTGTCGTCCACCACTGGGATGACAGCTCTACTAATGATTTTACGATACAGAATATTTGTTCAGAACACTTATTGGACTGATACTTGTCAGGCTGCCATCTAGTTTTAGTCAATAAAGTCAGCTCAGACATTGCAAAAGACACATTTTGTCGGCCTGGAAGCTGTGCTTCACTTTTTCTAGAAGGGCTGTACTAGCTCATTAGCCCTTGGTTAACCATGTAGAACAATCAAATAAGCTTTTATACCATACCACAGCTATAACAACACATCACCTGCGAGGCTTGAAAGACATTGCAAAGGGTTTTCAGCAAATCAAGGTACAGGATGAGGTATGAAAGCCAACTGAACACAAGCCCTGTTTCAGCTTGTTACCATGGTCTAACGCCCTCACCTTTTAACTGACTGAATTCCCACGTCAGAAACGCACTATGGTCAAAAGGCCAAGAAACCATGTCCCTTACAGAGGCAACCCATCCATTTACTACTTTCTGGTTAGCTCAGTGAAGTGTACTCAAGGTTCATACTGCATTGAAAGCCACGAGGTGGTAACAGCCAGTATTTTAAATAGAACTGGTGCCCGTGCCGTCTTCCACTATCGCAGTGCAACTTCTACCATCACAGCATAACTCAAGGTGTGCTTTGAGCCTTCAAAGCATTACGTGACTTTGGAAACCATCACTACTTAGGTGGTTTTTCTCACTCTTCACCAAGCAGGCTGCAGCGATGTTAGCTGGAACTCTCCAGCCATTGGCAAAGCCAGAGCAAACCACTATAAAATATATAGTGAAAAGAAAATACCATGATTAGAGACCCAGACACAAGGGGGTTTTGATCAGCTTGTTGCATCAAACTCCTCGTGGCAAGGATGGCAACACTTGCTTGGTTCCTTCACCTCTTTAGCTAACTTTCCCTTAGCCATGGGGAATCTTCAGTTTCTCCAACAGTGAGTGATTTGTCAGGATTATGGAGCAGGATGGCCCAGTGTGCTACCTGGCGTATGGCAAAACACTCAATGGTCATATATTATTATGTTTACAAAACATACAGGTAATAAAGTTTTAATGACTTCAGTTAAAATAGATACAATTTAATTTTAAGCTAAAAAACTGGCTATGTAGAGACCTATAAGTGCTCCATGACCATGATCAAAGCATCATTATACACAGCAGTTTTAACATTTAGCAACATTACTATAAAAACTGTTAGTAAATCAATTAAAGGTCAGAAAGATTAAGGGATTACATTTCTTACTGGTACAAAAATATGCAAATTGAGTACCAGACTGGAATGTGGCCATGCCTTTATGCCATCTATAGAGGACATGAAACAAACAAACAAACAAAATAGATTACATTTCATGCTTCATTTAAGACAGCCTCACATCAAAAGTCAGTGGGAGGATGTTTTGTTGGCAGATCAAACAGGTGAAGTACGTAGAAAAAATTCAAATCATGCAAGAAAAGATTCCAGTTGGAAGCAATCTACTTTTATATTAATTTCTCTAAAGCTCTGTTTAATGCTACTTTAGCTCTACAAAGAATATAATTCTTAATGACTTGCATGATCAGGTAATCCCCATGTAGCTACAATACAGTTGCGGGGTGTATGGTTTAGTCCTTGCTCACACCCCTTCTTCTTTCCCAAAATCCTACCTTCTGCCCCTGGGCTGCAATAATACATGCATTAACATAAAAATCTAAAGACCTAATGTGTGATAGGAGTCAAAATGATGCCAATCACACCGCACTGCAGAACAAACGAAAAAACCCAAACCCTCATAAACTCAGTAACTTCATCCATTATAAAATTAATTTTTAAAACTAATTGAAAGAATAAACACCTTCAGAAAGCTGGGTTACAAAATAAAGCTCAAAGATGTCTAAATATTGCTTTCCTTCTGTCGTGAGGTATTTGGATATAGTAACTATGACAAAATAGTAAATCGTCAGCTAACAAGTTGCATTTAAAGTAGCAATATTCTTTTTAATCTTGTCTTGCACAGAGACCATCTGTCTACAGTGAACACTTACCTCACCCACAACCTTTCCCCCTTAAATAAATGTACCTCCTATGAATATCTCTAAAGAGATGCTTTTTTTCCTAGACTAGGATTAATTTTTTTTTTTTTTAAGGCATGTTTCATTACTTTGCAATCTACTGCTGCCATCTCCTGTGTTAAATGAGGCAGCAAATAATTAGATACTTACAAGCAGGCTATTTAACTTTGACCATATGGGAATGGTTTCTGCTGGTCAAGCAGAGAGTACTCCACCTACATAACACTGCAGAAGCCTGTTAAAAAGTTGGCATTACCTCTAAGTGACTCCGTCGTTCTGCAATCACTCGTTCATCCTTGTTTCCAAAGAGCTTCTTCGGAGGGAATTCTAAAGTGGCAAGCTGGAAGACATTAAAGGATGAATCAGCATCAGAAGTGACAAGCTCAAATGAGAAAATTCTCTTTAAACTACGAAGTAACTGGGAAGAAGAAAATGCCAAATATTCATGAGCTACACTATATGCTAGCAGCAAATATCACACTACACATTTCTACTGACATTATTACTATCTGGTCTGTAGTACTGCTAAGATAACAACGCATTTTGTCATAAATGAGCGACAGAAAGCAAATTTAGAATTAGACTGCCACCATTTGCCAAGATTACAAAGTCGCAAACTGAATCTGATGTGACAGCACCAGCTAAGAAGACAGACAGACCTCCTCAGGAATCCTGTGTGTCTTAAAAGATTGCATTCAGCCTCTTAAAAACTATGGTCACCCACCATACTGTCACGTAATTTGTTTGTCTTCTCTTCTGTTGTACTGTAAACTAAGAGCATTGGACCTAAGAACTATCACCGAAGTTCTGCTGTGGCAGATGGCATTGCTGGACTCTGGCTGACCCCTGAGCCAGACCCGAAGGACCTTTCGTTGGGCCTTGAACTACGACTTCTTCCTTCGCAGCAGGGACAGGGTAAGAGCATGCACCTACGCTGCGATGACCGCTAAGGTGATGGGAAGTGGGACTTCTTGAGCTGTGACTCAACTGTAGCTCAAACACGTTCAAATGGATGTGAAGCTGGATAGCTTTAATTTCTGAAAAGAATCCACGTGAGCAGGCAAAATCCCATTTATCACACCGAAAACAAAAACAAGGCAGCAGCACAACTCCTAAAAACAGCTGTTCAGATCCGTCCTTTTAGGAGTTATTCCAGAGAGGTGCTCAAAGCTATCTTCTCCTTTCTTTTTCATCCTGTAGCAACTGTGGCAAGCTACACTGGTAAGAGAGAGAGTGAGGGAACGGACTTCCTTTCTCGTATACCAACAAAGAAAATGCCTGAACAAATTCAGCCAGTTAGATCTGGAAAACACACAAAAGACTCAAGAATTGGTAACAAGTACCAGTGAACTTGGTCTGCTAAGCCACTGCTGCTGGGAACAACGCACAAGCAAGCAAGACCTCTCCACATAGTTTGTGTTTGCACTTGAAGGCACATCAAAACCAATTTCTTCCTAGCTCTTGCTGTACGAGACAGAAATATGCAGCCTCCCATTGGCATTGCTGGAGCTGCTTTGCAGGCGAAAGCCCTGTGTAAAAATGCCTCCTGCATGAAATCCCCTGCCTGCCTGATGATATTGAACTAATAAACAAGATACATCCTTTTCCAGTATATCAGCACATAAAGGACTGTAGAGAATTTATGGGTGGTTCCAAGGAGCAGCAATATACTGAATTAAGTGAGGAGCTTCATTATTAACACTGAATGTAAGCATCTGTAAAATACAGAGGAAATCTGCAACACTAATAATTTATTCCCATTCTCTGGTTCAGCTCCAACTTGGATAATTTTAAAGAAATGCCTAGACATCTTCGAATGAGCGACATAAAGTGATGTGGGGCACCAGAAGAGACGGAAGAGATGACTGCTCTGCATCAGTCTTGCCAGCACGCCCCAATTATATTCCTCAAATTTCTCCAATCTTATTCTTCTCGATGTGCCTGCTGCTTCTTGTTGGCAGGATAAGCAGTACACAACCAAACAGTATCCTATAATTACGTCCTTGGGACTTATTTTCACTGTGTTACTCACTCCTTAACCTATATAGGATTGTAAGTGCTAATATTTCCAAGGACTTCAAAATCCCACCCCTGCAGAAATTATATTTTATTAAATAGTACTGCATCATGTCACTACCAGAAATAAGCAAGATAGAACAACTACCACCACAATCCCCTCCTGGCCCTAGGGAGATTGTGTTCATATTTATTTGCTAATAAATAATTTCATTATAGAATTTTAAGTGTCTGTTAAAAAACAATTTGCACAAATAAAAAAACTTGCTGCTACAGCATCCTCAGACATACTCTGTAGAGTTAAAGTAAGGCATTACAGCTAAATCAGGAATGATTTCTTTATCTAAATTGTTTGATTTTAACAGGCATTTAGGGACTGATTCTACAAAACTTTGGGATGGGCAAGCTTTTTTCCTAATCTGTTGGCTTTCTGGATACATCTTAGAAGAAAAACGGTTGCGTTTTCTAAAGCCAGTAAGTTTTGCTAAACTCATTCAAACTGAAGTAGCTAGTGACATAGTTTTAACATTTCTTAACTCCCAAATCACTGTGACGCTCAAAGATTTGAAACCAAGCCAACAAAAGTCCATTATTACAGTCATGAATTTCATACGCAAGGGAAAGGCCTCAGACAGTAAACTTGGCTTTGAAATGTTCAAAGTCACAGCACGTACCTAAATGGAAATCATAATTTCATTGCTGGTCAAGACCTGCATCTGAATACTTTGGACTTAGAGTACTGTATATGATAAGAACCTCCATCCACATCAGAACACCCATGTGCCTAATTATACTTGGCACACATATATGTGTTACTTATGTTTGTAATACATATATGTGTTTACAGAATATACCTATACATACATATATGTAACTTGGAAGGGTTTTGCATCCTGCAGAGGGTACGTTACAAAGGATCCATCATCTACTGCAATCACCATCTCTATGGGGCTGGATGCAGTAGGCACACAACCTCGGGGACCTTTCTGCG